CATCGACGAGTACAACGCATGTTCCTGTCCTCGCCGTCAGACGCCTCCGCCTAAGCCAACAGAGCTACCTATGCCGGCAACGGAGAGCAACGTCGACGCCCTGCGTCAGTGGCTGGCCGACTATTACTCTGCGAGCACGTTCAACACCTGTGAACATCAGCCACTCACGCCGATGGACGGTCCACCCCTGCGCATCATGCTCAGACCTGACGCCGAGCCAGTGGCCCACCACAAGGCTATCCCAGTACCACTGCACTGGCAGACGGAGGTCAAGGCCGCCCTGGATCGCGACGTGCAGCTGGGGGTCATCGAGCCCGTACCGATTGGTGAGCCGGTGACCTGGTGCCACCGGATGGTCGTCGTCTCCAAGAAGTCGGGAAGCCCTCGCCGTTGCGTCGACCTTCAGCCCCTGAACCGCTGCGCCGCAAGAGAGACGCATCATACCCCAAGTCCCTTCCACCAAGCCCGGTCTGTGCCGAGGTCGACCTACAAGACGATACTGGACGCCTGGAATGGCTACCATTCGGTGCCCCTACACGAGGAAGATCGACACCTCACCACTTTCCTGACCCCTTGGGGCCGATACCGTTACTGCGCGGCACCCCAGGGCTACATCTCCAGCGGTGACGGGTACACGCGCCGCTATGACGAGATCGTGATGGCGGCAAACCTGTCACACGACTGCTACACGAAATGCATCGACGACACCCTTCTCTGGGGAGACAGCATCGAGGAGGTGTTCTGGCGCACTGTGGAATGGCTGGACATGTGTGGCCGTTCCGGCATCACGCTGAACAGCGAGAAGTTTGTCTTCGCCCAGAAGACAGCGGAATTCGCTGGGTTTGAAATCACGCCTGACACAGTCCGCCCGTCTCATGCCTTCCTTCAGAGCATCACCGAGTTCCCCACTCCCAGGAACCTGACAGACGTCCGCGCGTGGTTCGGGGTCGTCAATCACGTCGCCTACGCATTCGCCATGGCGGATGCCATGCTGCCGTTCCGGGAACTCCTGAAGCCCGGCAAGTTCACGTGGACGGATGAACTCCAGGCACTGTTCGACATGTCGAAACGGACCATCGTCGAGGAGGTCACGAAGGGTGTCCAGATCTTCGAGACAGATCGCCCAACCGTCCTGGCCACCGACTGGTCCCGTACTGGTATCGGTTTCTGGTTACTCCAGAAATACTGCACATGCGCCGGTCGGTCACCACTCTGCTGCGCTGAGGGCTGGAAGACCACGCTGGTGGGAAGCCGCTTTACATCCGGCGCTGAATCTCGGTACGCCCCGGTCGAGGGCGAGGCGCTGGCAGTGGCCGACGCCCTCGAGAAAACGCGCTTCTTCGTGCTCGGCTGCAGCGACCTCACGGTCGTTGTTGACCACAAACCCCTCGTGAAGATTTTCGGGGACCGATCACTGGTCGACCTGCCCAACGCCCGTCTCCGTAATCTCAAGGAAAAGACCCTCCGGTTCAGATTCGACATCAGCTATCTCCCCGGAGTCAAGAACCGCGTTCCCGACATCGCGTCCCGGTACCCAACCGGCGCTCCCATCGGCATAAGCCTCTCCGACGACGTCACCGTCGACGATGCTGGCGAGGTAGCGGCAGCCGCCATCACCACGATCCGGTCTGTCACCTGGGACCGCGTGAGGGACGCAACGGCAGGCGATCCGTCGATGATGCGACTTCTCGAACTGATCGAGGGAGGGCTACCAGCCCACCGCCACGAGATGCCTGAGGAGCTCCGAGAGTATCATTCGCTCCGTGATGGCCTATACACCAGCGACGGCATCATCCTGTATGATCAGCGAATCGTCATCCCACCCAGCCTCCGCGAGGAGGTGCTCCAGAGTCTCCACGGTGCGCACCAAGGGATCGGCATGATGCTCGCGCGCGCGGCCGTAAGCGTGTACTGGCCCGGCATCACGTCAGCTATTCGGCGCGCCCGTGAACGATGCCACACGTGCAACCGGAACGCCCCATCGCAGCCATGGGCCCCACCTGAGGACATCAGTTACCCAGAGTACCCGTTCCAGCAACTATGCGCGGACTACTTTACACACTGCGGCCGTACGTACCTCGTCATCGTTGATCGTTATTCTAACTGGCCAATCGTTGAGAGAGCACAAGATGGCAGCGCAGGCCTCCGAGACTGTCTCTACCGCGTCTTCAGCACATTTGGCATCGCTGAGGAGCTGACGAGCGATGGCGGGCCGGAGTTCACTGCCCACGAGACACAGGCGTTTCTGGCCGACTACGGTGTTCGTCACCGCCGCTCCTCTGTGGCATTCCCACACGCGAACTGTCGCGCTGAGGTTGGCGTCAAAACCGTCAAACGCATGATCGAAGGCAACACAGGTGACAACGGGGAACTGAACGTGCGACGCTTCCAGCGCGCCATGCTGAACTACCGCAACACTCCCGACCCCACGACAGGGCTGTCGCCGGCCCAATGCGTGTTCGGTCGTCCGGTGCGAGACTTCATCCCGATACCCCCCGGTCAGTACCGTCCTCATCCCACGTGGCGCGAAACCCTGAGTGCTCGTGAGGAGGCACTCCGGAACCGCCACATGCGGGACCACGAACGCTGGTCCGCACATACGAGGCGACTACCTCCACTGACCGTCGGTGATGCCGTCCGCCTCCAAAACCAAATCGGAAGATATCCCAGGAAGTGGGACAAAACTGGCCGCGTCGTGGAGGTGCGACAACATAACCAGTACATGGTCCGGGTCGACGGCAGCGGCCGAATGACATTGCGCAACAGGCAGTTCCTGCGCAAATACACTCCGGTTGTTCCGGCTCGTCGTCAGCACACCCGAATGGACGAACTGCTCGACGACTTCCGCCGACATCCAACACGCGTGTCACAGTCGCACGCGAACTCTGGACTGACGCCACCCACTTCTCCACCTGCGGCGCAACCCCCCGGCTCTCCGACTCCAGTGGTCGGCCAGATGCCGGCGACGCCGCCGCGGGCGCCCCGTGGCAGGCCCCCGACACCGCGTCCACCCGCGCCATCGCCGCCTGTGGTGTTATCCCCGCGCGAGCGAGATGCGTCGCCGCCCCTTGTGTCCCCACAGTGTGTGACGCCGTCACCGTCCATGTCGACTTCACCACCACATCGCGTGTCCCCGCATGCGTTGTCGCCCGGTCATGCCACGCCGTCGCCGCCGGCCATGCCGCCCCCTGCCGCGCCAGGCTCGCAGCCGCTGAGAGATACTGAACCCGACCGTCCCCGTCGCAGTGATCGCCCGCGCCAAATGCCGATCCGCTATCGCGACCCCAATTTCACGCGCTGACTGTGCCACTGACTCCCTATCATTGTCAAACTCGGCAGTTGTTTGCGATGTTCGGATATGTTCCGCGTTTAGTGTTTGATCGTTGTCCCGGCTCGTTTTCCAGCCGGTCCACTCGTTCTGGTTGCCTAGAAGCTGTGTTTTGTTGCCCCCTGGGCTATTTGTTTGTTCGCGCTCCCGTGAATGCGACCCGTCGTTTGGCCTTTCGGCGTCGTTTCGTTACGGCACCCTTCAATCTATGCCAATCTATGTAAGTCTTTGTTCCCGGCCGGCAAAGACTGGGGGGAGATAGACATGTATGCAGTGCCTTCCCTCTGTAACATTGTTTCTGTCTCGTCCGCAGGACTAGATATGTCCAACATTCACTGAATTCCGAATACAGAATATCGAAATGGCGCGCATGCCTATCTAAGATACCTATGTAATCAAATTGCAAGTGCATGAACATGCTATCATAGTGTTTTGAAAGTAAATAGGCATTGACAACTGTGTTCCGCGCAGTGCCTGGCTGCTGTGTAGACCGAGACTCCTACAGCCTGCTGGCACAATTCTAGGTGACAGGAGAATTTAAGATTCAGATGCCATTGTATAATGTGCCCATCAAAGCAGGACATGACATGTCCCTTTCAACCAACCTCAACTATCTGCAGATTCTCCACCAACATGGTGACAGGACGGTCCCTGTCAGAAGTTTCATAGTGATATGTTCAGCACTATAGTGAGTTAATCATAGGCTCTCATCACTGGTAGTCCAACACTCTCAGCTGAGCTACAGGACTGTCAGGTCTTGTCAGGACCCAGTCTGGTGTTTCACAGTTCTTGATCTGCTTGGGAAATCCCAGGTTGTCAATGTCTGAGACAAGCTGGCAATATAGTGGGGTTTTGATTAAGTATTTATATAGTTTTGCACCAAGGCTACATTCTCAGAGTGAGTTTTATTCAGGCCAGCTGTGAACTGGTGAGAAAGGACCATGCTGGAACCTGAAAAAATCATTTTCTTGCATATCTCAATCTGCAATCAGGCTCAGAGTCATGATTAATCACTAAATTCATAGGTACTAGTGAATCAGGTGATGCTGATGTGGGTAGTCAGATGGTGGGCATCCCCCATGGTTGATAGTGCTCATGGATGGTCAGATGGGACATCCCCCATGGTTGATTGCTACATGCTCATCAAGTTTCCTGAGTAAATACCCAGATCTGCTGGTTGTTGCCAGTCTTCCTACCATTGAGATATAATTGAAAGGTTTAAATATAGCACAAAAGGTTAAATGAAAACTCTAGCTGCTTCACCAACCATGGACCATCATCTGTGTCATGTGTGTATGTACTCTTGTATGCCTAGCAGGCTCTTGAGGAAGCTGGTAGGTATGCTGATGCAATAGGTGACCTGAGTAGGAGCTCAAGTCACCAAATAGCTACCATGGTATGTGGGTGTGGTAAACCATTCAGACTTGGTAAGAGATACATTTTGGAACAGGAAACTTTATGTCCTTTGCCAGCTCTGTGTACATGAGAACATCACAAATTATATACATCTTCCTTTTCAGCTAAACACACAGAAGAACCATGTTTGCTAGAAGATTTTTGGCTGCCTCATCAGTTATGCAGAGGCAGTTTGTGAGGAGTATAAGCAAGTCAGTGCGGCTTCATCAGCTGGACCTTAAAGGCATTTATCCACCAATTTGCACACCCTTCACAGATGATGGCAAATTTGACATTAACTATGAAAAACTTGCAGAAAACATGAAGGTCTATCAGCAATCACCACTTAGAGGTAAGTGAGGCTAATGGTATGCACCTATCACATAGGTACATGGCATGATTTATACCTACTTGACTTAATTAAGTTTTTAGTTGTTTTAGCCAACCACCTAGAGGAGTAAGTAACCCTTTCCCTTCTTTCCAGGGTACCTCTTAAAGATATTGATAGTCTCCCCTCTCTAAAAGGTATCTGGTAAAGAACAGTAACTCTTTCCCTCTCCCCACAGGATGCTTGTTGCAGGGCATTTCCCCCTCCTGGGTGCCTGATAAAGAACAGTACCCCCCCCCCCCCTCCTCCCCCCACAGGATACCTGGTGCAGGGCAGTAACGGCGAATACATCTACCTGACCCCCTCTGAGCGTGTGGAGCTGGTACGCCGGGTCCGCCCCCTGGTCACGGACGGTCGACTGCTCCTGGCCGGCTCGGGATGCGAGTCGACTGCGGAAACCGTGGAGCTGTCGCAGCAGATGGCAGAGGCCGGCGCTGATGCGCTTGTCGTTGTTACGCCCTGCTACTACAAGGCGTCGATGAACGTAAGGGAAGATGAGTGGTGTTTTCGAGATACTTATAGATTGGGGGAGAGCAAGGGAGAGGCTGAATGCTAGCAGTGAAGGATATGGACGAGACGAACTAGCTATTTGTGTTTGGTCATAGTGTTTGTAGACCATCCGGTGATAGTGCATAGCGTGTGTAGTAAAAATGATGATGCTGAACACTACAGTACACGCAGCTCGTCCAGTAATGTGTTCCCTGTTTGCTTAGAAGGACGCTTAATGACACTGTACACTGTACAGTGTTCGCAGGAGAGACAGTACGTAACACTTCACGTTTTCATGATGGTGCGATGTTTGTAGGACGTTTACCCTACTCTGTTTTGATGACACTCAATAACATCGTACTATGTACGTACGACGGCGTGCGACAACATGGTACCATGACATTCAATAACATCCCTACGTTTCCAGGACGCGGCGATGGTTGCCCACTACACTGCAGTGGCCGATGCCAGCCCCGTGCCTGTGATTCTATACAGCGTGCCCGCCAACACGGGTATAAATCTGAGCGTGGAGGCGGTCACTCAACTGGCGCCGCACCCCAACATCATCGGCATAAAGGATAGCCTAGGAGATGTGAGTAACTGCCACTAGAGCTCCCGTGGCGGGATGGCGACACCATTGCAAATTGTGTATTGTTTATGCACGTTTTTGTTTGTAAGCTGGGTATCAAGTGTTGATTTGGTTTTGGTTAAAATTTAAATACATCTCTGGCATTCTGGTAGCTTTTTCAGCATAGCTTGCTGTTACGTGACTCCTAACTGGATCTTAACTACGATGAGAAAATATAAAACCGCAGCGTAGTCCCCTGGCTACCCTCTCACTGTACTACTACCCCTGTTCGACAGATCAGCAAGCTGGCTCAGCTAGTGGAGACCACCAAAGACGAACAGTTCCAGGTGCTAGCCGGCTCGGCTGGGTTCCTGCTGCCGGCTCTGCTAGTCGGTGAGTCGCGCGACATTGACGCCATCGCATATTTGTGATTTCATCTTCGAGGACGTGTGTACCGCGGCACCCTACGCTAACTTGTGCGGGCCCACCTACCAAGTACTAACCGTCAGCCGACCACTAACTGTGTAGCAAATTTAAGGGAAATTGAAGTCCCAGTCGTTCTCGAGAAGTGGAAGCGTCCTGCACGTGCAAACTGTGTAAAAAGTAACTGAGTTTTAGTTTTTCCCGGCACCTTACTTGCTGTTTCTTAACTAGGTACCAAAAATGAACCCAATAGGTCCAGCCACTCTCGAGATCTGGAAGCGACCCCCCCCCCCCTTGCACGTGCGCACGTGCAGTAGCACTGCAACCGTAACATGTGGACGTTGAAGTGCACTGCCCGGACTTTGCGGGGGACGACAATGGCTGGGGCAAAATGTATTCGCCCCAGTAATGATAGCAAACGGGACTTTTCACGTGGCACCTGCCGCGATGGTTTTCTATCTAAGTATCAAGTAGTCAGTTACGGGGTAGAAAGGATGGACTACCTTAAAAAAGACCGCAGGTCAATCGGCCCAGCGGCTGTCTCTGAAAAGCATTACAGGCCGGGCCGGGCCGGGCTGAAGCGATAATGCTCACATTTTCCTATGCATTGCAAAGACTCGCTTCGCGCTCGTTCCTAAGCCATCTGGTTCCATAGCCATGGTTCGCATATTCGTTTTGATATGAAGCCTAATAAACTAAACTAAACCGCGATACTTAATAGCCTTTGTTTGTGTTTACATAGAATCGGTGTCGATATTGACACTGTGCGGTGCTTGCACCATGGTTCTCCTAGATTGGCGCCAGCTGATTGATACCAGCTGATTTCGCGATATAGTTATGTTAAAATGGCAATATCATTATTTTCGGCTTCTTAGCAAAGTCCGAAAGACTTGGGAAATTTGCGGCAATTGTCACCTGTTTCGGCTTCAGCTGGCCTGGAACTTGACGTGTTTGACGGATTGACCAAGTACCAATACCTTCACCTTTCCTAGGTAAGCTTATTCCTATAAATACCTTTTACCATGCCATGTATTATGTAGGTAATGACTTATGCCTTCTCATCCTGCCACGTTTTCCATCCAGTGATGTCTGACATTCTATGCTGTGCAGTGTTTGTCTATCCAGCTAACACCGCTCCCTCCTTTCAGGCTGTGTAGGAGGTATCTGCGCGCTGGCCAATGTCGTCCCCGAGGCCGTCTGTCGTCTAGAATCTCTGTGGCGCTCAGGAAGCCTTACAGAGGCGGCCAAACTCCAGCGAAAACTAGTAGCCCCTAATGCCGCGGTGACTCGCGGATTGGGAGTGCCTGGGATGAAAGCCGCCATGGACGCGCATGGTCTGTACGGGGGTCCGCTGAGGCCCCCGCTGCTGCCCCTGTCAGACGCACAAAAGGTGGTGTTGCACAAGATCTTCGTCGACGCTGAACTGTGAGCCAAAAGTAGGTTCAGGCAAGGCGATGGCTCATTCAGGGCGTTAGGTCGGACGGGGCTGTAGCTCATTCAGGACCTTAGGTCGGACGGAGCGCAGCTCCTTCAGGGCGTTAGTTCAGGCATGACGGTGGCTCAGGCTGGGTGCTAGCTCAAATTGGGAGTAGCTCAGGCTGGGTGCTGTGCTGGGCCTGGCTCAAATTTGGGGTAGCTCAGGGGGTGTTATCTCAGATAGAAGGAGCTCTATAGTCTATACCTCTCTTCCTCGAATTGAAACTCATTGCAGGGGCCTGATGGGAGAGAGCTTACACATATTTACAACGAGGTCTGGGGGATTGGAAGATATATTTATACAGGGCCAGCGGGAGTTGCATGGATAGCGTATATATACGGCGCACACCAATCATGCTCGGTTTGTATAATTGACGGCATGTCGCTTTATTGCTGTCGTCAGAAGACGTGCATACGTAACAGCCTGAAAGGCTCTTTTAATATGTAGAACTTTGCGTAGAACAGTACGAAGTACGCTGCGATGACCTGACTTGAAGCGCGTAAATGGGCTAGTTGCTTATTTTATAGTACTTGCTGACTTATTTAGCGCTGCGTATTTGGTAAGACTACTACGCATTACCTAGAAGGTATGGGTTTTCAGGTTTCCCGTCACATTACGCGGGAAGTGGTTAGTGTTATGTCATTACTGTGATACCTTTTGTTGATTACTCGTCAAGTAATTCTTCATGAATTTTCGCTTGTGAGTTGTGATCAACTCATGTGGGCGATTTATGTTTTGACACCAGCTCGGCTATTTTAGTACGTCTTCTCCATAAACTGCGTCGGTATAGCCATAGAGCTAGGCATTCAAGAAATGTGCCATTGAAAACCTTGTGGTATTACCGTATTGTTCAACTTTCTTAGCATATGTGCAATGGAACTGCGTGATACCTGAGTGATGCCTTACAAAGGCTATCGAGCGTTTTGTGCTTTTAAAGTATGCTATAAAAGTGATTGCAAATTTAACAATGAACTAAGGTGATAAAGAATGTTTCACTGCCATTCCTGCCCCATGTAAAAATGCATGCAAGTTGCAACGAAGTCCTTGCCAGATCGTTGTATATCGTGTGCTGAGTTTTACTACACCGTTGGGTGAGCGGACGTTTACCTACCCATAAAAATAAATATCCCACTCGTAGCGGCTATTTTTTTTTTACTGCAGTTGTGCAAGTTTGCCGCCTCGACGATGTATTTTTGGTCGCTTTGTATGTATTTTCCTGGTCCTGACCAACACAGACACAAGTCCCGTCAGGCAGTGCATGAAGGCTCACGCTGCCTTTTTTTGTGGACCTGTGCGTAATCAGGACGCTTGGGCTGAGGACCCCTCCAATGCCCAAATACGATCCATAGCATCACGATGCATCACAGCGGCGTGGAATCAAACTGGAATCAGGAGCAGAGCAATGACTCTATGCTCCGAACCGGTCGACAACCACTAGCTACAGAGCGCTGAGACTCGGGGGGTGGGGGGGGGGGGGGAATCGCGGGGGCCTCCATTCTACAGAGGGCCTTTTCTCTACTGAGGAGTCAGAGGGGCCCTGATTTGATTTTGGCTGATTCCATCCGGATGCCCTGAAAACCCCAAGGGGGAAGGGGCGAAGTGCGAACCGTCCGCCCCCCCCCCCCCGCCCGGGTACGCCCCTGAATGGTAGGTAACCATTTTCATCTCGATCACCACCGAATGGTTACTTGCTGATTCATATGTGATACGACGGTCGGTGTATGCGATAAGTGAAAACGTTAAGTTGACCTTTAAAGGTCACCGAGGTCATCTTAGGTCACAACAATCAAAATCGATGCTAAAATGCATTATTGCGATAGGAATGGTCATATTTGCGTCTCACTTATCGCGGTGCATGTGTGGGGAATGGCTGCTGCAGTATAGCATTACCCTCATAGCAGCGTTTTAAGAGCATTTTCTTGAATTTGATACTGGCGCACACGCGCGCATATTACGTTACTTGCGCACCAATTTTGACGCGCGCGTGGCTGGGCGAGTAGTGGAGTCACCGCGGCGGTTAGTTTTCTTTTTATTAGCTAATTATTATCCATAACCTGAGCATTTAATGATTATAATAATCGTCATGTGTCGTATATGTAGTCAGTAGTGTATCATTTAAAGGGACACTCCCACCTTAACATTAGTTTTGAGTTGAGATAGCCAAATTGGTGGCCATGGCCTGCAAATACCGGTTTGGGCACTCACAACATCGACAAATGCTTTAATTCGGAGATATGGAATTTCAAACTTGCAGTTTTCGGATTCTAAGGGGCTAGTGCATTGGTATGCCCCCTTAGAATTTGTGACGTCAGCGGAGATCTAACGATTTTTAAATCTTTTACTAAAACATTTGGTAGCACGCGGTGGTATATGCTGCTTTGCGCGCAACAACTGCCGCACTTTCAAATAAAGTCGCTAGGAACAGTGGAGATCCCAAAAAGTAAACAAAAGTAAAAGACTAATATCTTGAAAACCGGTGAATATTTTTCGATGAAATTTGGTAGATATTCGTTTTCGCTCTTTCTGAACCGAGCGACATCACTTTCGTGCCAATTCATTAACTTTTTTGAAGGTGGGAGGGTCCCTTTAAGAGTTTGTTGGAAATCAGAGGAACTTTGGAGCCAGACTGGAAAAAGCGCATGCGCCGAATTCAGCGCATGGCGGCGGACACATTTTTCGGCGCAGGGTGGTTGCATAATTTTTTGGCGAAATACAATCACCAAATTTATGCGGTACGCTGCTCAATCTAGTAGCAGATTCGCCCCCCAGGCGGCTCTGGAGAGGTTTCGGGACGAGACGTCCCCGCCCCGGTCGTGGCGTGCTCGAACTCGTGAGCCGCTCGATCTCAGCGGAGAAGCGGCTGCCCATGGCCCAGTTTCACCAGGTGCTGTAAACTTAATTTGGAGTAAAATACCCAACTACCCCACTACATAACTACAAGTATACTACCCCGAAATTAAGTTTACATAACTTGGTGAGCTTGAGTCAAGTGCCCAGCCTCACCAAGTTAGGTTAACTTAATTTTGGGGTAGTACCTATTTTTTGCAGTTACAGAATGGGGTAGTTTGGTGTTTTACCCCAAATTGAGTTTACCGCACTTGCTGAAACTGGGCCCAGGTGAGGCCTCAACCCTCGGCGTGGAGATAGGTAAAGAAGACCTTGTTGAACATCGCCAAGCGTCGTTAAGCAATATCGCATTGGGTTCTTGCCCACTGCGGTATCGAGGGGAATGGGAGCGCGGCCGGCCTGCCCTCGAACGCCCACTCGCTGACCAGGGCGGTTCACTGTGCGGCCTCGCATCGCACTGTGCGGCGCAGAGCGCGACAACTGCTCAGAATCACTATTCATTTCAAGCCACTCCTCGGGAGCACGCCGCCGCTCCCTATCCCCGGAGAGGACCGAGAGGATGCCATTTCGGTGCACCAGATGAGGGCGGGCCAATGGGGCCGCTCGCTCCAATACGGCACCGAATCGGCTGTCTCCACTCCGCGGCGTGCCAGCAGTGCCCAGACAAGCGGTGCCCCGCGGCCGGGCGCTCTGCGCCGTGTGCCGAGAACAGGGTGATGTGCCGGAGCACATGCTGTTCCGCGGCCCGGCCCTCGCTGACTCCCGCCAGCCTGAAACATACTGCTCCGCCGATATTAACATCGGTACAAATTTGTGGCCCGGAACTCACGGCTCCAGCTTTGTTTCACGGCATGAAGCTAGAGTGCGCTAAGACTATTGAGCAGGGATGCGGAGCCGTGGAAATTTCAGACGGCTCCGGCTCCGGCTCCGGCTCCGGAGAAAAAAATCGGCTCCGGCTCCGGCTCCGGCTCCGGGTGAAATGTCAAGGCGGCTCCGGCTCCGGCTCCGGCTCCGAGTAAAATGATCCGGCTCCGGCGGCTCCGGCTCCGGTGGCTCCGGCTCCGGCTTCTACTCAGTACACCCCTACGCGATCCATAAAATACGGGTGGAAGAAAAAAGGCGATGGGATTGGTACACGGTACACGCTGCTTCTGTATTCGTATAACAAGGCTATTTTGAACACCACATTGTTTTACGCCTTGTACTGTCAAACCGAATTAGGTAAATAATTGTTTCCTGTTCTACTGTTATATATGTTTCCTCTTAAGAAAAGGAGCCGGAGTCGCCCCCTTTTTTGACGGCTCCGGCTCCGGCTCCGGCTCCGGGCTATATTGTTTCACGGCTCCGGCTCCGGCTCCGGCTCCGGGCAAAATATGCCGGCTCCGGCGGCTCCGGCTCCGGCTCCGGCTCCGGCTCCGCATCCCTGCTATTGAGGTATTGGGTTTCCGTGGAAATAAAAAACTCATTTGGACGGTCAAACATGGGGGAGCGTACAAGGCCCCGGAACAATCTGTCTGGTTCATATAGCCTTGATGGGTAGATGTGCACATTTTTTTTTATATATTTAGTCCGAACCTTTTGATAGGAAGGATTCGCAAGGACAGAGCCACCGCTAAGCGAAGCTTGTTGCGGTGACCCTGCCCTCAACCCTCCGATCGCGCAATTCCGGTTCTATGGCAGAATTTAGAGTCCAAAGTTTAACGTGCGCACATAGCCGCGCACGGCCGGTCCCCTCACTGACTTCGCCTGGCTACGGCCTGCCACCAACCGCAACCATACCTGTCAGGAGGCCCATAAATGTCAAGCGCCCGTCGCGCTTCGAACCCGGACTGTTATAACCGGGAACGCGTGCTCTCACCACGCGGAGTCCAACGCTCTACCAACTGAGCTATGGGACCGGCACATGTGTTTTATATAAAAAGGGTTTAATTTTCGCACAAATGGGCACCTAACTTTTGGCGCAAATCACACAGAAATTTAATTTCAGCGCAAAAGCCGAATTTCGGCGCAAGAGAGTCTCACGGGCGTCCAGCGTTGTGTATGGATGTTTTCCAGTCTGGCTTTGGAGCTTGGAGAGAAAGCCCTGCGCCCCTGCGGCATCTAATTTCTCTTTCGGTATGAGTCACATTCCAGGGCTCTGTTTCACTGGTGATAGCAGCACGCTGCTATTACACGTGTCAAATTGGGTTTCCATGGAAACATCAATAAACCATGGAGTCGTCAAACTGTGTGATGTCATCAAATATTGCTGCTAACATCTTCACGGCCGTGCGATCAAACAAATGTATCAAACGCATTCAAGGAGACAGCAACTCTGTTCCAAACGTAGCTATGAAAAAGCTCACGGATTACACGAAACGTCATAAGTGTGACGTCATCACATTACGTCAGCTCGCGCAATTTGATAGCAGCGTGCTGCTATCACCGGTGAAACAGGGCCCTGTATTTCTCAGGACTGAGTAAGACAAACATTTTATGCATCACATCACTCACAGTTCACACTTAACACCACACCCTACATATCCATGGTGGAGTCTGAAAACGGCGCTGAAGGGCATTTTTTAGTCATTTGATTATTGGGATATTCTTCCCCTCTTGGTGCCTTTAACAGGCTGATTGTCATGTGATAAGATCAAGCGAATTTAAAATCCTTAATCAAATCGCCCCAGGCGTCCTGTTTTGGGCCGCAGTACTAACTGGATTATTCGCCGGCTTGCCGCCGGTGCGCTAGCAGTGCTTAGTAAATATCAATGCTAGATATAAAAGGCTAAATATATATATATATATATATATATATATATATATATATATATATATATATATATATATATATATATATATATATATATATATATATATATATATATATATATATATATATATATATATATATATATATATATATATATATCTATTTATTTCTCTGTTAGTGCCATTTTTGTGTTTATATCCATCTGTTACCGTGCTTTTATTTTTGAAAGCATAGGAGCTATCGTACGTCGCTGACTGAATCCACTTGTTACCAAGGCCCCCTGTTTTCAGATTCCACCCCTATCCACGCCTGACTTCTAACTATCATAGTATGATATGATTGTGATCACCACCCATTTACTTGTGCCCCACACGTTTTCTCGCCAGGTCATGACTCCACGTGTGTTGGTGGTGGGCGGCGGACTGACGTCCGCAGTGACGTCATCCCTGCTCCGAGAGGAGCTGGGCAGCAGATGTCAACTGACGGTGTGGGATAAGGCACGGGGCGCAGGTCAGTGAGTGGGGGCACCGGCTGGTAGGAGTGGGGTGGAAGCTAGGCCAAGGGTTCATATTGTTCACTGGGGTACATGTCATGTCACTGGGGCGGGGGCATAGGAATGGTTCAAACAGGTCGGCTAGTTTTTTTTTTTTGCAGGCCAGTGTTTTGGGTCAGTTGGTACTTGATAGATGTAACAGGTTGGTTAGGCGTGCAGCTGATGTGCAGTGCATAGCTCATGGTGCAAGTAGCTATCTGCACAGCCATGATTAGGTGAATTAAAGTGTCTGAGGGAGTTTCAATGTCGAGTCAATAGAGTGAATGACAGGATGAGCAACTGAGTGAGTGAAGGATTGAGCAGATGAAGCGAGAAAAGAAACGAGTGTCTCTCCATCTCTTCTTTGACACAGGTTTGTTTGTTTTGTTTTGTTTTGTTGGGTTAGGCCCTTTCGGTCTGGCAAGACCATTTCAGAGCCGGGAGGATGATAAGATATAGGGGGAGACATTGGTCTGGGCAGGCACCCTAGTGAGTCGCCGGGGCTGAGCCCGTCCAGAGGACAGGCCACCCAGCCCCAAGGCACTCACTGCACCCGGCTACGGGGTGCGCTCCCTCGGGAGCAGCGGTGCCGCTCCAAATCTGACCTCTCTGTGCCCTCAGGCGGTCGTATGTCGACCTCTCGCGGCGGGAAGGGGGGGGGGGGGGCGGTGGCACTATATGTAACCCTATGATCCCTCTATCTGACCTGTCTGTGCCCTCAGGCGGTCGTATGTCGACCTCCCGCGGCCCAGAGGGCTGTGGCACCGTGGACCTTGGAGCACAGTACATCACTGTGACACCACAGTTCCAGCAGCTTCACAACAAGTGAGTGTGAATTAGGAAAGGCTTTGTCACATGCAGGGGCGCGGGAACTACTTTCCGACTGGGGGGGGGGGGGGCACACCATAATAGAGATCAACCTAGGGTACCCCCAAATCTAGTTTTCTCACCGGTTTTAGGCCACTTATTTTTCACCCCTCGGCTTTTTCAACAAAAAAAAGAAAAAACATTTGCAAAAAAAGTGTGGTATTCCGTCTCAAAGCTGTGGGGGCACCGCCCCCACGGCCCCAGAGTTGGGGGGGGGGCAAGCTGCCCCCACTGCCCCCCCCCCCCGGCTCCCGCGCCTATGGTCACATGCATGCTACTTTTTGTGGTAAATCGGTATCTATTATGTGCTGTGCCTGTGTGGCTTGCTGGGCCCCTTTGTTGTTTTGCGCATGCTTCATTAGTTAACACGCGCACCGACGGGGGTCTGCGCCAACTTAGTACCGACGGATTAGTCAAGATAGGAACAAACTAAGGGCATTATCGTGATCCTCTCGTCAATCCGCATCGAATGATATATACAGGGTGTCCAGAAAAAAAAGATACTACGGAAATTAAGTCGCATTTATTAACGCACGTGCCGATTTTTTTTCAACTTCATGTGCTTATAGTGCAAGATTTGGCAAAACTCATGAGCACTGTAATGCGTCGTTGGAAAGTTGTCTGCCTGCCCTCCGAGAGGGTCAACATGACCATCAGTCACCTGCCGACCGTGCTGGTGCTGGAGCTGATCCGCCGGAAGGCCGCTCACATTGAGTATCTGCTTTGAGGAGCTGCCGCGACTAACCAAAGGGTTTACATGCCATGTGGCACATGCTGTCTGTTTTGCCATATTTTTGCGAATACAAGCATGTGCCATTTTAAAATGTGCGGTGTTTATTTTCGGAATTACAGCAAAAAATAATAGTATCCGTTTTTTCTGGACACCCTGTATGTTGACCTCGAAAGATCAAGGTCAAAGGTTGACCTCAGGTCACGTGACCTCGAGGTCATCATGTATATCATTCGATGCGTCTTGACGAGCTGAACACAATGAGACCATCCGCGCGGCTGTATCTTGTTCCTGTACGGAGTTATTGGCAAAAAAACCTTTGGTGACCTTTGATGACGTCATATGACCTTACAGCTGCCCAACAGCAAAACAGACCTCAAGGTAGTGAAGGTTGATCGTATATGAAGTCATGTCATATGGGGCCATTCCGACCCGTTTTAGTGGTAAAAACAGGGAGTTGATTTTTCCCCCATTGACTTATAATGGGGAGGTCGAGAAATTGACCTGACCTTAGGTCACCGATATCAAAATTCTGAGATAAACAAATTGTAGCTACTAATGACCTTATAACATCCTGCGACTTTCAAAGGCCTCCGACATCTACTGTAGCTCTGGCACGGTGACTAAGTTGCAAAAAAGTGACTTGAGATTGGGTCATTCAAAGTGACCTGGTGACCTTATCTTAAAAGTTAGGAGGTTCAAACTTGCACACCATGTGTAAAATTGATGAGAGAATAGTGGTACCAAATTTCGCGGCGCTACGCGCCGCGTTTTTCCCGCTATTCGCGAAAAACCTCAGGGGGGGGGGGCAGATATCCGCCCCCCCCCCGTCGGTGCGCGTTATGCAAGATGGCATCGAGCCTCTTTCACTCGCGAGCTACCTTTCAGTCTGTGATGTTCTGTTCCGCGATTTTCTCTCGCTAGTCAATGAATGATGCTCAATATTGTCGTGTAGACCGATTACCACTGATTTTATAGCACCGTCCCACTTCCCAGCAACTTGGCTGGTGACATGGACGCTACTCGACTCAACTTTCATTTACTCGCTCCCCGCCATAACACAAAATAATTGCGTCCCTCTAGGTCCTAGGATAATTGATTTCAAGGCATTCGTGACTAAAAAAGTGACGCCCAATTACCATCTCTCCTAACCCGTTTGCAGATTCTACTCCGAGCTACAGTTAGCAGGCCTGTTGGCGCCTCTGACAACCACCGTACAGGGTCTCCGCCCGGCGCCGGCCGGTAGCCAACACCTGGTCACTCCCCGTGGTACCAGCGCCCTAGTGAAACACTTCTTCAGCAGGGCCGAGGTCACACCAGAGTTTAATCAACGGGTGACTGAGGTGAGAATGAAAAAGATAGGGGTGAGAGGGCTGGTGACTGGCGAGTTTATGAGTAGCGAGAAGTAGTGAGAATTGTCGCGTATAGTATGAGATCACCAATGGGACAATAGGCGAGAGAAGTGAGAAATAGAGAAAGCCGACCTAAGTAGCTCAGTTGGTAGAACAGTGGACTCCCGGTAGTGAGAGCCCGGGTTCGAGACGCTCCGATCTTTGAGACTCCTGACGGGATGGTCTGCGGTTAGTGGGAGCAGCCGCAGCCAGTTGAAGTCAGTTGAGTGGGGCAGGCCGTGTCCGGCTTTGAAGGGCACGTTAAACTTTGGCATCCAAATTCTCCCGTTACCCAGAATTGCGCGATCGGACGGTATGAGTCGGGTCTCAGACAGAGACCCCGCTCTGTCAATCCGTCCATTCAAACATTCGAACTAAATTTATAGGTATTAAAAATTGTACCAACATTTGAGATTTAGAAGCAACGTTGGAAGTAAGGTCGGCGGTATTGGCAAAATTCGAATGATTGTACTGAAAAGGTAGGGGCAGATCAGGAGTGCTTTTAGAACCAGAAGTGAAATTAGTGGGGCAAGAACCTGAGGCTTGGTGAGATTATAATAGCAGGTCGCGAGTGCTAAAGGTACAGGATTATGGCTGGGCGTGTCAGCTAAAAGTAACTAGATAGTCAAGCTAAGAGCTGCTGAGAGCTTATGCCACTCGAGCCAGAATTGTATTTGCAGAGATTGCAAAACAGATATTGCAGGATGCTGGTTCCTTTTGTTTGAGCACTAGGGTTGCAAGGTCATAGCCAAGCATAGGCGGGGGAACGGGGGGGGGGGGCACCGTGCCCCCTTGATTTTGACTTGATTGTGCCCCCCCCCCCGTGCCATTTTAACCCTCGCCCTGGCAGGGCATTTTTCATAACACGGCTTGGCAGGGGGGGGGGGGGTCGATGCGACCCCCCCCCCTCGCGATTGGCTCCTATGGCACCTAGAAACACCAAATTTGGTAGGTAGGTGGGCCCCCTGGAGTTCTCGCCCCTGTGCAAATTTGGTTGCTCTAGGTCAATATTTAGCGGGGTTTTGGGGGGTATAAATGCAAAAATTTCGCTAAAAACAGGTCAAAAGTTTTTCGCTTATAACTTTTGATCTAATTAAGATAGAGCAAAAAGAAAAGCACCAGTGAACTCAGCGCGTCAAGGCGCGTCGAATGATATACTTTTTAGCTTGCTTAAGTGTACTTAAAGTTTTTCTTAAATTTTAAGTAAACTTAAATGAATAAATTAAGTTAAAGTTAACCAAATTGCATCATATCGCATATCATTCGATTCGGCTGATCACCAGGAACACAATGATACCATTTTTTAAGCTCTAGCGTCATTATATGCCAAGTTATTGGCAAAAACGTCATTTGACCTCAGTTGACCTCATTTGACCTGACCCATGGATAAGTACACCAAACAAAGAAGCACCAAGTGACCTGCTGTTAAGTACTGTGGTTTCAAAGCACAAAGGTGATAGAACGAAGCGGATATCTCCAGTATTTTCCGAATTTAGTATTTTCCCATAGGCTTAACATTACGACGTAATGACCTCTAACTGACCTCAGGTCAGTGACCTCAAAAAACCCGAACTATATGTTATACAACTCGGTGAACTTAGCACATCCTGAAAGTTTGAAGGAAATCAGTGCAAAACTGTGAGTTGGACAGGTGCAAAAAGAAAATTGAAATTTGACCATGACCTTGTACCGGTTTTTCTGACCTGGTGACCTGACCCAAGGTCACCCGGACCTGAAATTTTCAGGTCATATGTAAAAAGGTTGCCCCATAGGCTGTGCCAAATTTGGCGGCGCTGCGCGCCGCCGTTTTTACGCTATCTCCGAAAAACCTTAGGGGGGGGGGTCGCATCGACCCCCCCCCCTGCCAGGGCGAGGGTTAACATTCGCCCAATGGGCGTTGCATGGAAGGAACGGGACCAAATTAAGTCGGTAGTGCCCCCCTTAATTGAAGGTGTTCCACCGTTACTGTAGCCAAGTTTACGGAATGACTCACGGTCACCCATAAGCTGAACCTGCGTTTCTGGCAATGCCTAGGGCCTTGGCAATGCCGTTCGACACTACTTAGTGTCTACTACCACCCGCTAGGCCCCATTGCGGCTGATTTCTGAAGCTGCGTTTTTGGTAGGTGTCAACAGATGGCGCGCAGTGCGTCCGTTACCACGGAAACCGGCCGGACTGAGTCGTTTGACGCCATTCTTCTCACAATGCCGCCGCCGCAAATTCTCGAGCTTGGAGGAACGCTGAAGAAGGATATCGGTAAGTACATGGGTGTAGTTTTCCAAAAATCATTGGGGGTGCTCAATAACTTTCAGAAAGGCATGCCATAGTTTTTGTAGTTTTTTTTAGCTGTTCTTTTTTTACTGTAACCATCAGGCATCATGCAAGAAATGATGTTAAATCGGTTCGAGAGCTTGTTTTAATAGCGCCACTGTAAAACAATTTTGGCTCACCCAATGGGGGGCTGGGGTCTCCAGCCGAACGCGCGGGGCTGGGGGGGGGGGGGTAAATTTTACCCCCTGTTATCTCCCGAACTAATGGTCGGATTTGGAAAATTCTAGCGCCAATCGAAAGATCTCATCACGAATAACTAAAAACATGTACTTAATTTAAAGTTTGAGGTGAAGGTCAAGGTCAGGTCAAGGGTACAAATTGCAAGTTTCTACAGTATCGGCCTTGCACCGTAGTTGCCGAAGAATGGAGTCATGGACTGAGACTGATTGCCCAAAACGTGTTTGGGCCTGACCTTGGCCATAAGTTTGGCAGGCCAGATTTTGTACTGGACCATTTTGAGTCAACTTTGAGAAATACATAACGTACAACGCTGGTAAAATCGTTGCTATAGGTATAACACAGTTTACCCGCTCCGGGTGTGAGGGAGGGGTGTGGGACAATGAGTGCACTGACGTGGCGCCCTCGGAGGGCCGGTATGAGATTAAAGCTCAGCTACACTAAGGGCTTGTGTGGTGCCTTCATTTATCGGTGGCACCCTCAGAATCACCGGCGTAGGGCCCTCAGAGCCGCCGGTAAGGGAGGCACCGGTGTGGGGCCGCCATGCAGGTGCCGGTGTGGGCGATCAGAGGTGCTAGTGTGATTCTCTCAGAGGCGCCGATGAGGGTCCTTACAGGCGTTGCTCCGGGCCCTCATAGACGCTGGTGTAGAGCCGTTACAGACGGGTGTGGGGCCTTTAGAGCTGCTGACGCGAACTGTCTACAAGTCGGCAGGGGGTCTCAGTGACCAGCAAGGGGTCCTTAGGCTTAGGCCGGCAGAAGAAGTCCTGCGGGGTCCTAGAGACCGGCATGGTACTGTCAGACGCCGGTGGGGCCCTCAGGGTCACCGTTGTGGGGCCCTCAAGTCATCAGTGGGTGGCCTTTATATGCGCAGGTGTTGGGTGGGTCCTCAGAGCCGCCGATAGGCACTGGCTTTAATAGGCACTGGTGTAGGCACTCGGAGTTGGGGGTGTGAAACCCTCAGACACACCGGTGTGGGCCCTCATAGGCACCGACGAGGGCCCCATAGTTGCCGTTATGGGGCCCTCAGAAAAATAAGTGTGGGACCATCACAGGTGGGAAATGCCCCTAGAACTATCCCCTCATAGGCCGGTAAGACCTCTCAGAGGCCAGTAACGGGCCTTTGGAGACCACCGAGGTGTCCTTAAAAGCCGCAAGAGGCCCTCAGAAGTCGGCGTGGGGCCCTTATGGAGACCTTAGTGTGGCTATTTAGGGCCCATGAGGTGCTCTAACGAGCCCCACGGGGCCCTTCTAAGTAGAAATATGGCCATAACCCTCAGCGGTCAAATGGCGCCGCAGGGCCTCTCGGACCCGAGGGTCCCTTTGAGCCCGATGGGGGGAGGGGGTGCGTGTCCCCTTAGACCCCTAGCTATGCCACTGTTTCATATGCATCATGTCAGGTATTTTAGGCTCGCCCCCCCCCCAAACTTGAAAATCGTTCCCGGGCCCCTGATTACGAGCGAGCGAGCGCAGCGAGCGAAGCGAGTCTTTTCAATATAACGGAAAAATCTCAGTATGAGCGGCCCAGCCCGGCCCGGCCTGTAACGCTTTTGAGAGGCTTATATCTCAGCAACCGCTGAACCGATTGGCCTGCGGTCTTTTTTGCTGGGTAGCCCCATCCCTTCTACCCCGTAATTGACTACTTTTGATGCATCTCAGTGACCGTCGTGGCACGTGCCACGTGAAAAGTCAAAGGTGTTCAAGCTGTTTTGCAAAAGTAGTGATTTTGAGAGGCTCATATTTCAGCGGCCGCTTGGGCGATTGATTTGCGGTAATTTTTGTAGGGTAGCAGCATCCCTTCTATCAAAAATAGGATACTCCCGATGCATGTGGGTCACCCCCAGTGCACGTGCAAAATACAACAACGAGAGGTGTCAAATTTGTTCCCATTTTAATAACTCGGTAATTACTGGGGCGATTTCGCTGAAACAATTGGCATACAGGTAGGCACCCACCAGGCAATGTATTCCCATGTGTTGCGGTTAAGGTGCTACTGCACGTGCGCACGTGCAGGGGGCGCTTCCAGATCTCGAGAACGGCTGGGCCGATTGCGCTTAAATTTGGTACACGGTTGGGGACCAGTTAGTAGGGTGCCGTGCAAAAGTCAGTTTGGACCCCGTTTGCACGTGCGCACGTGCAGAATGCCGCTTTCAGATCTCAGGAACGGCTGGGCCGATTGCGTTCAAATTTGGTACACCGCTAGCGACCGGTTAGAAGGGTGCTTTGCGCAAGCCCGTTGGAAGTACCCTCTCGCCTTTCCGCACGTGCAGGGCTCACTATCTCGCTCGCTCGTTCTTCGCCCAGAAGGCGTTTTACTGGTAATATCAGATGTAATGTTAACACAAATATCATGCATCTTAATTTGTGGTGATTTATTCAATGTATATTCTCTTAGTCACTGAATTGAGTAAGCATAGTGGGCTTGCGAATAATATTCAAGTTTGTTTTTACTCTTCAAGACCACCGAAGGCCTATGCCATGGCCCTCGTTTCGTTCGACCAAAATTCTACCGGTTTTAGAAGAGCTCCACCAGCCAATCACACGGCTCGGTCGTCATCTACCGCCTCACGCGCTGCACGTTTCACCGTCGTCGACTCCGACGGTCGTCGGACACTCGGACCAGTGGCGAAACCCTCATGGACAGACCCATTAATCTCCCGCCCAGCGGCGGAGTAAGGCAGCACTGCAGGGGGAGACGGGCCGGCCGCCACGTCCAGGCGCGCCGCAGACGTGCCATAGAGTACGAGCGGCGCCCGAGCCGCGGCCGTGTCCTGATCCCCCTAACAGGCAGCCCCGGACCCGCCCATGCAGGACGAGACCGGACGGCTGAACCCCGGGATGGGCCGGGCCTGCCAGCGGACAGCAGCCGGCAGGAAGGCGTTGGGGCCAGTGGGTCCCGCCGTGTAGAGCGCCACCCTTCACGTGGTGAAACCAACCGATGTCTGCCCCGGCACACTCTAAGCATCGGTCATTCATACATCAGTGGAAAGCCAGCTGACAACACGTACGACCGGGCTTACCTTCTAGCGGTGCGTGAGAGGGTGAGGGGTGGTGCGAATAGCAAAATCGCCCAGACCATCCGAAGCAGTCTCCCAGCGCGCCTGACACATTTGGTCCGCCGCTCACATCAGCCAATCCGTGCCATTTGTGGATCTAACCGGCGGCCCCGTCCCATCGCCATTAGAGATGCAGGATACCAACAGCGAACGATCACGGTCCCAGCCCGACTCAGCATCGCGGAGACTCGCAGGGTACTGGGATCAGGGAAACAGCTAGCACCTGCCATCTTCCTGACCAACCCCACGTCACTCAACAATAAATTGGACGAGCTATACGCGAACATACTGGAGTATGCCCCTGACGTTGTCTGCATCTCGGAAGTCTGGCAGGTCGCTCAGGACAAGGCAAATTTCCCCGGCTTCAGCTTCTTTCAGCGACCCAGACTGCATCGTCGGGGAGGTGGCGTCGGCTGCTACGTCAGACAGTCCATTCCAGTGAAGCTACTGAATAGCCTCCAACCCTCTGAGGAAGACGTTGAAGTGATATGGCTTCAATTACGGCCTAAACACCTTCCGGCAGGTTCATCTAATATCTGCATCGCCACAGTCTACTTCCCACCAGGCTCGTGTGCAGAGCTGCGAGTGAAATACGAGGAGCACCTTCAGTTCGCCATTGATGAGCTCCGTACCCTGTATGACTGCCCTCGATTTATCATCTGCGGTGATTTCAACAGCTTTCCAGTTGAGTCCCTCTGCCGGCTCAATGGTTTGCATCAAATTGTAACAGCCCCCACGCACGGGGACTCAGTTCTGGACCTCATCCTGACCGATCTGGGTGACTATTATCACGAGCCTGTGATGCTGTCGCCCCTCGGGCGCTCCAAGCACGTCATCGTGCACGCTCGACCGCGCACCATCCAGCCGACACCGAGGGAACGAACGACCGTGCGAATGCTGCCGGACTCGGGAGTTAGAGCATTCGGCAGGTGGATCACAGCACATGACTGGACCCCCGTATATGAGGCGTCTTCCCCCGATGAACAGGTGGCGGTGCTGCAGTCAACGCTCTCCACTGCTCTAGACCGGTTTCTGCCTACCAAGACATTGCCAGTGCGACATCGAGGGAAGCCTCACATCACCGCCACCGTCCGACACGCCATTGCCCAGAAGCACAGAGTTTTCCGACTCGAGGGCATGTCCGACCGGTGGCGACATCTACGAAATAAGGCCACTCATCTGTGCCGCAAAGCCAAGGCGGAATTCTACGACAGGAAAATACGAGGATTGAGGACAGCAAAGCCGGCTACTTGGTACCGTCAAATCAAGAGTCTGACCGGCCGAGTAAAGAACGAACAGCTAAACTTCGCTGAGTATGAGACTGGTGGGGCGCTGGCGGAAGCGGTCAACCAGCACTTCGCATCTATCTCATCCCAGCTGCCGGCACTCAACCTGGAGGAATTCCCTGCCTACCTGCCGGCGGACGCACCCCCACCGGTCATCCGACGAGCTGACGTCCAGAGGGAACTGAGCAGCATCCGCTCCAACATCTCCACCACACCGAATGAGCTACCAGCACGGCTGGTCAAGGAGTTTGCCTTCGAATTATCGCAGCCACTCACTCACATCTTCAACTCCTCGCTATCCTCCGGAAAATTTCCGTCTGCTTGGAAGCTATCCTTCATCACCCCCATTCCCAAGGTCAACCCTCCAACCTCTTTCAACGATCTTAGACCCATTTCACTCACCCCGCTCTTCTCCAAAATCTTTGAAGGATTTTTGACAACCTGGATCATGGCTGACATTACCCCATCACTTGACCCACACCAGTTCGGAAACAGGCCAGGCTACTCTACGGTACATTACCTGATCTCGCTATATGACTTCCTGGCTAAGAACACAGACAGCTCTTCAAACGCTGCGGCCATCCTGGCGATCGATTTTTCCAAGGCCTTCGACCTGGTTAGCCATGATGTCGTGCTCAGGAAACTACTGGACCAGCAAGTTCGTCCCTCCATCGTGCCTACAGTAGCCAGCTTCCTCAACGAGCGGAAACAGGTCGTTCGACTTGGTGGCTCGAATCCTGTCTCATCAGAGCTCACTACCACGTGTGGAACGCCCCAAGGGACAAAAATCGCCCCGATTGCATTTTTGGCTCATATAAATGACTGTGCAGTTACCGAAGATCATCGATGGAAGTATGTGGACGACCTCAGTATCGGCATCCTGTCTCCTGCAAGAGATGCAAACATTGTCCTTCAGAAAGCCCAGACGGCCGCATCCACTCTGGAAACATGGTCAGAGAACAATCTCATGAAGATCAACGGAAAAAAAGTGTCATATACTCATCTGCAACTTCTCTCACAACACGGATATGGACGGCGCAGTAATCATTAACAACGAACCAGTACCTGTCGTCTCTACCATGAAACTTCTCGGAGTCCATATTACTTCTGACCTAAAGTGGACGGCAAATACAAATCATATCACAAAAAACGCCTCTCGCAGGCTGTTCATGCTCACAGTCCTCCGTCAGTTCCATGCAGATCTGAGCGATATCCGCGCCGTCTACATCAGCTTCATTCGTCCATGTCTGGAATACTGCTCTCAACTGTGGCACACGGGACTGACACAGCAACAAGCACAAGCAATCGAGCAAGTTCAGAAAAGAGCTTGCAAAATCATGATAGGATACGAAAACTACACCGACTACGCCTCTGCCTGCCAGCTCCTCAACCTCGAGACTCTGAGCGAGCGTCGCGATTCTGTCCTCTGCAAGCTGGCGGCCGACATCCTCGCCAACCCCGCCCACCCACTGTACCCGGGCGAGCAGCTGGCAAATGTGAGGCGCCCTCTGCGCCGGCAGCGAAAGTTTGTCGTACCGCGGGCCAAAACTGAGCGGTACAAAAAGTCCACTGTGCCTGTACTCATAGATCTAAGATCTAATGAACAAGATGTGATCCCCACGTAGATATGTTCGGAGCTCTTTTGAAATGCACTGTGTTTTTAATTTTTGTGATGCTTTTCACTTCTTCATGTGGTGCCACCATTGCACAGCTCGCCTCATGTACGGCCTTTTTACCAGTCGTTGACTGTCACGTGGTCAAATAAACCTTTATGTATGTATGTATGTATGTATGTAGCATAGTATTTGCATGATTCACTGGGCTCATTACAGTACTAGGAGATGGACATTCTGATTATTGAGGGCCTTGAGTCAGCTGGGAATGTTTTGAGGAGGCTGGGGGTGCTTTAAGAAGGCAGGGGGTGCTGAGCTCAGGATTGGGGGTGCTTGAGCACCCACAAAGAGATATAAAATTACGCTTATGGGTAAGTAGCAGTATAGGGCCTTGAGTAGGGAATTAGTCGTTATTACCTCGTAAGGTTGCATGGTCTTTTGGTTGTAAGGTCTTTGAGCTTGTTGTACAGAGCTTGTCTCGCCGCGTGAAGGATAAAGATGTTTTCTTTGAGCTTGTTGTACAGAGCTTGTCGGTATATGTCAAGTTTAGGTCCTAACTACAATTGTGACGCTGTTGATACGAATATGAAACAGCAAAAATTTTAGGTTTTAGGTTAGGTTAGGTTGTAGGTTTGTAGGTTTTAGGTTGTAGGTAGGTAGGTTTGTAGGTTAGGTTAGGTTAGGGTAGGTTGTAGGTTGGTAGGTTATAGGTAAGTAGGTAAGGTTAGGTCAGGTTTGATTATGTTTTTTTCTTTTATTTGCGAGACATATGAGTATCATTTTTGAATTCAGGATGTCAAATAATGTAAAAATATGAAAAATTTATCAATGAAATCTTCTTAGGACTTAAACTTGACATTTACCAGCTTGTCTCGCCGCGTGAAGGATAGAATAGACAATGAAACTTGCCCCATGCAAAGAAGTTAGAATACTACAATACCAAATATCACCTACAATTATTACAATCATTACTACAATACAATTATTTACATATTATTTTTGTGTTTTTATAGGGAGATTTAGGAATATTACAGCCTTCTTCGTCAGCTTCCCAATATAATGATAATACTTAAAGCTTGGCTCGTGTGTAAATCATTGCATGCCAAACATGAATCCGTCCTAGCTCGACAACAACATTTATAATCATGTTTCCAATGTGATAGCTTGTAATACAGTGTGCTTGCATGAATAATTAGGCAAATGTTGGCAATCTTATATGATTCCATGTCTGACACCTGCCTCATCATCGTTCATTCCATCAACAGCACTACCCCCATCTCTCCCCCTCTATTCGTCCCCAGAGTCAAACCCCGCACTATCTTCTGGCCTCCGCTCGGTTCGGTTCAGCTCCCGGTATGCCCTGGGTCTGTTCTTTGGCGCCGGGGGAGGCCCGAAGGTGGACTGGGGTGCCAAGTATGTATCGGACCACCCCGTGGTGCGGTATGTGGCAGTGGATAACGTCAAACGCGGACAAGGTGAGTGAATGAAAGGGGAAGGGGGGGGGGTGAAAGTTGTAAATTAATCATAATAAGGCGTTGGAATACGTTGGTGGATGTTGGTAATGGAGAGTTGTCGTTGCTGTTAAGCTTGGTTGTGGTCTGTTAAGTGTAATTGCGAGTTCAATCAGGCAATTATGGGATGACGTGGGGGTTATTGAAAGTCATCCGAGGTCGGTGGATCACTAGCAATCACTTGAGCGTTAGTTAAGCTGGTTGAAGGTTCATTGACTGTACATCATCTCTGTAGCTGTAGCGTGCATGTGTACGTGTACAGTACGTGGCGGGGCTGGTGCAGTTGGGGCTGGGCTGAGGGGGAGTGCTACCGAGCCATCATCAGCTGGCGATGAGATGCTGCGAGGTCGGATGGCCGACGTTGGCGCCGGCGGGTGGGCGGGCTGCGGGCAGAGCCAGTGGGGCACGGACGGGGCTGCCGTGCGCGAGACTGTGCATTCGTGGTGTGACATCAGACGAAAATCGCGAGGAATAGATTTGCTACAAATCTCATAGCTTATTAATAACTCCTCTTTATTGGACTACTCACTCTTCGTGTTTTTTTTTTATTTTAGTACAGGAAGTCAGTGTCACTAGATTTATGGTGAATTTCCTATGGTGAATTTCCTAGATTCACATTATTCCGTTTTAAATATTGATTTCGTCACTCAATGGGTAATTCCGTCGGCGATTTTTTGAAATAAACGAAAATAAATAAATTCGTTCTATAGGTTCTGACCGGTCGCCTCTGCCCGCCAGCCTCCGGTCCCAGTTCGGTGGTGGTCCACACCAGCGTCCAGTTCGGGGAGGAGCACGTCGAGAAGACGCCCGCCGAGGTGCAGCCAATCCTGGAGCGCCACGTCACAGAGCTGTTCCCTGATTGGCCGGCGCCCACCTCGGTCAAATGCCAGAAGTGGCGCTATTCGCAGGTACGACTGGTGAATGTGAGGCGAATTGTATTGAGTCGTGGTCGAAATAGGTTAGGCACTGACCCATTTGACCGCGTGACACACTTGACCCTTTACGACATTATCTGAGCCATAATCGCTGCTGACTCATCCTAACCAAGTGAGAAGAACTAAGTCATTAACCATAGGAAACACAATTCATCTGACAGTGTCTTACTCAGCGATCTGACTCAGTCTGACCCGATATTATGACGCGATATTTTGACCCCATACTGACTCCTTACTGACCTGATACTGACCCCATCTGACCCTATACTGACCCCATCTGACCCCATATTCTGACCCCATCTGACCCCGCTCAGGTGACGGAGCCGTTCCGGGCCGTCCCGGCCACGTGGTGCTCAGTGAGCAGCCCCTGGTAGTGGCCGCCGGTGATGCGTTCAACCGCTCCAACATGGACGGGTGTCTGGAGTCGGCTACCGGAGCGGCCCGGCTCCTGGTGGAGAAGCTACGTCAGAAGGAGGCGTAACCACCGACCCAGGTAGGTTGACTCGAGGCCCGAAGGTTCATCTCCTCCCTACCGTGGACTGGGTATCGCGGATAATTGTTCCTTCGCTCGCAGGATTGCATCATCGTATTGTTGATTTGTGCTGCTTCTTGATTGTGTACATTTTTTATCTGACTGAGCCAGAGATGGAATATCGGCCTTCATGATAGTAATTTGTGATACAGTTCTGGCAATTTCGAGAAAAAAACCTAACATTATTTGTAACAAAATGCAAAGACACTACTGATCCCAGCCGCGATGAAATCGGCATTACCTGTCTCGAGTGTCTCAATTTTGCTGATTTGGGTTGGAAACGACATCCAAATGAAAATTATTTTGCACGATCATCTCTAGCTGCTTTTAAGAGCAATTTACCACTCCCAATTTTACCTAGAAAAGCATCTGCATGGCTGGTCGTTTTACGTCCTACATTTACCACACTTGCATAGAAATTAATGCTATATTGATCCTTATTCCTCTCCTTTTGGGGTTATCTGACTGACGAGGCGACTTTCCACTCTCATTCCCTCGCCGATGACCACTTAAGTCCGCCCCCCGCCCCCCCCCCCCACCACTCTCATTCGCCCTGTTGAAGAGTAATTTCCCCTCTGACAACCAAGCTGAAATACTATTTTGGGAGCCCCCCCCCCCCCGTTCCACCGCCTATGCCTGACCCGCTCTGTGCGTCTTCTGTTTTTCAGGAGCCACTAGCAGTACCACAGACGGAGTCGGAGCGAGTTGGCGAGCGGAAAACAGACACCATAGCGGTTAGTCCTTAGTCTTTTCTCGGAATCTGGCTCAGATGAGGGATTGTTTGCGGTGATGGTCTTCAAATTAGACAGCCTGCAATTATGCGAGTCTACGGATTAGTCTACGGATCAGAGAGTCTAAATATCTGTAGTCTACAGTGAAGTGCCGCGGTGGTGATAAATTGACCAGAGACTTTACGAATATACCGAATGGTATAGTGGTAGGGTAGAGTGAACTCGTTTTAGGGATTGGGTATTTTTACATTTGTTTCGATGTGTCCCTTTGTAGTGTATTGAAGGATTCGCAATGGGGCATGGAAGGAACAATTAAAATACTTATCTGTTTCGAAAAATTAGGGTGACTTTTTGTGAATCTACTAGTAATTTGATGAGTGGGATGCAATTGATATCTGTCACCGGCACAGAGTATGTTAAACTCACATGTGCTCAACTCAGGACTTTTGACTTAAGTCAGACTGAACACAGAGGGCACTTCGTAGTTCCGGTTTGAAACGTGACTGCTGCTACATATTTACATAACTCACTACAGTATGGCAGCAACTCCAGTCATACATGAAAATATGTTAGTTGTAAATCTGTTAGTGCCTATGTAATAAGTGCTGTTCAGCCAGAACATCTCAACATCTGCTTTTACTGCACAACCAGTGTGATCCGGCGTTAATTTGGTAATACCTATGCTGCCGTGAAAAGGAAATCGATATCGTAGGTGACATTTTTAACATTTTACAAGAGAGCCGTTCTTATGTTCTGGTTAGTTTTAGTACCCTTGCGGACACTTGCGTTGCTTGAATTGGGATAATATAAGAGGTCGTCACGGTGTTTGCAATTTCACCATTAATTTAGTTAAACATGGTTTTCGCGATATTAAAAATAATTATATCTGAACCTGTTTACGTGTTAGCATTCACGAGGACAGAGCCCCGCTAAGCAGAGCTTGTTGCATTTGCCCTCTTCCCTCCGATCGCGCGATTCCTGAGCCTAGCTCATATACAATTTGTATGTCAGTAGGACGGGCGTAGGACGGAGGGGGCGTTTCCCTGCATTGCGGCAATTGACAGCCGTTGTCAGAGCCACTATGCCCTCCATTTTTCTCCCGACGGAGTGCTCAAACGCGCCAAGCTCTCGGATCAGGGACACTGCTTTACAGTGAGGGCTCACTGCAAGCATGCCATAGCAGGCGGTATATTGATGGCGCACTCCCCTTACTCGGCGCAGAAAATACCCGCGGCGAACCGTGTTGAAGGCATTCTTCAGTCAATTTTCACCATGTCACTTTCTGTTTCGAGCGCGCGACCGAAAGCCCGTGTTGCATGGGCAGCTGTCTCACATCCTCCCGGCGTACCGTATCCCAGCTGCGTGGGCCTCAGCTTTTCGCCCACTTCAGCCCTGCGGGCCTCAGGGCGAGCCCGGCCGCTAGCCTACGGTAGGCGCAACCAACAGCGATGGTCTTACACCACCGTCTGACTTGCGTAAAGTCATTTAGTGTATACTAACTCGATGCTAACTCGGTAACTCTAAGTAACTCGATCTTTTACTTAGCCGAGGGCAGCTAGGGATCCTGCCAGGGCTCTCCATCCCATTTGCCAGGGGTGGACGTCATCCCGCCCCAGGAAGACAGGGTCGAGGTTAAAGGCTTGGATGACAGTGGGCGCTTGGTGGAACTTTGAGCGCAAAATATTATTCGTCAGGTGGTGCCGACGTCGGTATGTAGCGCGGGAGACATCAGTGTCCCGCAGCTTCATTCGGTGCATGACTGGATATATGTGCAACCAACAGCGATTGGTCTGACTTGCTTAAAGTCATTATTGTGTACGATTGTGTTATTGTATTTGCATTGTAGAAAAGCCCTTTTGCTAGTTTCACTTTTGCTAAAGTGACACTTTTGGAAACTTTGGTGAAATGTACAAGGATGGCTATATGAACCCATCTGTCAGGCTGCTCTTTCCAAGAAGTATCACTTTACCGCAAAGCCAGTAAAGGGGCTCTATATGACCCGGACCCTGGCCTATGACAGCATTGTTTAGTTTCAAGTTTATCGAACGCACATAGCAGCATGCGGCCGGTCCTCTCACTGACTTCGGCCTGCCACCAACCGCAGCCATACCCGTTAGTAGCCTCATAAACACCGAGCGCCCGTCGCGCTTCTAACTCGGACTGTTGTAACCGGGAACGCGTGCTCTCACCACGCGGAGTCCGGCATGATAAAAGCACAGGTTTTCTTGGAAAAGCGTTTAATGAGCACTTTTACACTAGTACCGTCCTCTCGAGCTTGGTGTTCCGCGTTGCCGCTTGTCAACAGTTCTTCAGCGGTGCAACTCGTGTCTTGCTCATGATGAACGAGCAGTGATGCGTGCTGTCTGGTGAGGTCGTACGGAGATAAGCGACTGCTCCGAACGCTCCCTCTGATGCGTCGCAGAAGACATGAAGCTCGCGCGCAATTGTGTCACTTGATGTTGGACGGAGGCAGCGTGAGACACTGATGTTTCTCAGTGCTGGCAGTTCTTGGAGCCATTCTTCCCATTCTTTCTGCTCCTCACGATCCAGCTCGTCCCAGTCCAGTTGCTTGGTCCAGAGCTGCTGCATGAACATTTTGGCTCTGATGACGAAAGGCGCGGCGATCCCCAGACGATCGAAGATCGACGCAGTCCTTTGGAGGACTCCCCGCTTTGTCATCGGGACGCTTGAGTCTCGGAATCTGAAGCTCAGACTGTCCTTTTCAGCATCCCAAACCACTCCCAAGGCACCTTGTGTGGGCAGCTCCGCTTCTGTGAGGTCTAGTTCCGGCTGGGCGCGCTTCTCTCGGGGAATGCTCTCCAGGACGCGCCTCGAGTTGCTTACCCACTTGGATAGATGGAAGCCGCCTCGGGAGAGTGTCTCTGTCACCTGCTTCGTCGTCTTCAATGCATCATCTTCATGTTCTTCTGATCGTAAGAAGTCGTCCATGTAGAAACTGTTCTTCACAGTTTCCACGGCCTTCTTTGGTAGCCCGCAGTCTTCTCCATGGTCCGCGACTGTTCTTTGGAGGACGTAGTTGGCAGACGCTGGAGACGATTTGGCGCCGAAGATGGTCACCTGCATCTCATAGATGTCTGGTTCTCTAGTTTGATCCAGGTCGCGCCACAGGAAGCTGAGCGCAGGTCGGTCCTTCTCGATGACACGGACCTGGTGGTACATTTCTTGGATGTCTGCCACCATGCCGACTTTTTCTTCTCGGAAACGGAGCAGGACGCCGGTGAGGTTCTTCAGCAGGTCTGGTCCGGTCAGGAGTTTGTCATTCAGCGATGTTCCGTACGATCTGGCTGCCGCATCGAAGACTATCCTGAAGCGGCCTGGCTTATTGGGATTAGTCACGGCATGGTGTGGTAGGAACCAGCGTCTGGGCAGCCGGAGCTGTGCCTCCTCCCTGGACAGCTTTCTGGCGTGGCCCTTTTTTACATATGCATCGATCGTGGCCTGGTAAGCTGCGCTTTCTCTTCATCGTTTACCAGACGCCTATCGGTGCCGTGTAGTCTCTTTGTAGCCATCACCTTGTTGTCTGGAAACAGCGTGTCGTCGTCAGTCTTCCAGAGGAGGCCAGTCTCGTAACGGTTGCCGGTTAACTTGGTGGTTGTTGACTCTAGAAGCTCTTGCGCTCGACGGTCTTCTTTCGACTGTGACACTGACCGTTCATACTTGGCTCCGAAGGATTCAGTTGTCCACCAGTCCTTCTGCATTTTGTCTAGTTCCTCGTCAGCAGCGGAGCTTTTCTGGATTCTGGAGAAGATGGAAAAGGGAGTACCTCCATACCCTGATCCACAGGAAAAAAATGGCAAGCTGACCAACGGAACCTAACAGTCGGCGACGTAGTGCTATTAGCAGAGTCTGACACGCCCGAGGTCACTGGGCGCTGGCGCGCGTGCTGCAAGTGTTCCCGGGCCTGACGGCCGAGTCCGCGCCGTACAGCTCAAAACGGCGGCGGGTGGCCACTTTCGCCACTTTCGCGCGGCGGGCCCTGCGGGCTGAGCGCCGCGCGCCGCCACACTCGGCGCGGAGGGCCGCGAGCTCGGCCTCCGCCGCGCCCGCCCGCCGGTCCGCCTCTTCATGGAGCCGGGCGCTATACGCTGCCCGAGCCTCCGCCTCCTGCTGCCGGTCTCGTAGCCAGACCACTTCAGCTGCTGAGGCGCGGAGTTCCGCTGCGGCCGCGGCGGTATGGGTTCGTTCTTCTGCCAGCAGGGCGTCGGCGGCGAAAATCTCCGCTTCCAGAGCCGCTTGGCGCCCCGGCAGTGGCGAGAGCCGAGCCGCCGCCGCGGCCAGGTCGTAACGGAGGGCATCGTTGAGCCAGAACCCAAATGGAGACGGGCCCAGACAAGCCGCAACATCTGGGCCGCCCCACCGTCAGAGTCAAGCCAAGCCCGGTATGTGGCCCACCGGGCGGCGAGGACTTCGGCGCTGACTCGCAGGATTCTGAACTCAGAAGAAATATCGTCAGCTAGACTGTGTTAAGCTGAGTGAGAGGAGCAGCAGACACAAACATCAGCATGACAAACAAGAAACAAACTAGCTACGTACCTCTGCGCCTCCGGATCGTTTTGGTGGTTGCGGTCGATAGTGGGCAGCTGCCGAGCAAGTACTTGCTCCCGCCCCTCCTCGTCTTCACCAGATAATTCCCGGAGGTCTATTTCTAAAATGCAATGCGGGACGAAGCTGACATAGTCAGCTCCGCAGGATCGCTTCAAGCTCCAGGATGGCTTCTGGTCTGGCCATGACGCTGGCTGACGAAGGACTGACCAACCAGAGCCCCCGAACCAGTTAAAGTAAGGAAGGATGTTGTGCGTGTACAGTCTGTCTTAAAAGTACCGCGCAAAGTTACGGTGGATCCATCAAGCCTGACCGAGGAAGGGCCTGCTATAATTTGAAAGTCACCGAACCAATTGACCGGGGAAGGGACGAGGATGTCCATTGTCCATTGTTTCGGGGTGACTCAAATTTAGCAGTCCTTCATCGGTCAGGCTTGATGGATCCACCGTCACTTTGCGCGGTACTTTTAAGACAGACTGTACGTGCTAACCGACGCACTCACTCTTCATTCGTGTTTTGCTTTGTGATATGAGCCTCGTAACTCGCACATAACGGCCGTTTGTGTTTGGTAGTTTATTCGATTTAGGCGTGTGAATCGTACTTGTTTGA